ACAACTTTTTTACGCTTTATAGGAATCTAAATGACAACATTTTGACTCAAATCCTCGACAAAAGTTTGCTGATGAAAAGCAAACTCACCACATTAAGTTTGGACAACAATCCCATTACCTTCGTGGGCGACGGAGCATTCAAAAACTTGCCTTCTTTACAGGGAATGTGAGTGCTTTTTCTAATTTTTGCTTGTTTTGTTTTTGTTTTTGGTTTCCTTATACTGGTTTTTTAAAAAAGGCCATATTGTCTCTATCAGTAAATAGAGACAAATAGTCCCCTTGTGATTTTCAGGCCCTAATGTAAAAGGGTGAAGTGGTTTTGGGTGGGGGGGGGGGGGGGGGGTGTGATCCACTCTTCCCAACAAGCATATAGAAGCACTAGACTGCTGAAATCGAATGTGTTATGTGAAATGATATGGCAGCCTAGCTATAATCTACAACACGGCTTGTAAACCGCCCTTTTAAGAGTGAACTCAGAAGAAGAAGCAGAAGAAGAAGAAGCAGCAGCAGCAGAAGGAGAAGAACAAGAAGAAGAAGTAGAAGCAGAAGAAGAAGAAGAAGAAGAAGAAGAAGAAGTAGCAGCAGCAGAAGAAGAAGAAGAAGAAGAAGAAGAAGAAGAAGAAGAAGTAGCAGCAGCAGCAGTAGTAATATACTACTAGTAGTAGTTGTAGTAGTAGTAGTAGTAGTGGTTGTGGTGATGGTGGTGGTGGTGGTGGTAGTAGTAGTAGTAGAAGTAGTAGTAGTAGTAGTAGTAGTAGTAGTAGTAGTAGTAGTAGTAGTAGTAGTAGTAGTAGTAGTAGTAGTAGTAGTAGTAGTAGTAGTAGTAGTAGTAGTAGTAGTAGTAGTAGGAAGAGGAGGAGGAGGAGGAAAAGAAAAATGATAAAGATGTAATCAGATGGTATTGTTGCTTCGTTTTCGTTTTTTCTTTTGCAGAAAACTGTCATTTGTCTATGACATGCACAATTTTCCTGACTTGGAAGGCACTGACAACTTAGCATTTTTACAGCTGGACAGAGCACAGATCAAATCCATACCTGAGGATCTGTGTGATGATTTGAAGAAACTCAAAAGTTTGTAAGTTAACATTTCTGTTATCATTTATCATTGTGATACAACACAACCATAAAACAATTTACTGCTAACGATAAGCAGAAGAAAAGAACAATTCATGAAGCTTTGAAGCACATCAGGCATTGTTGTGCACGATCGACATTAAATGAAGTTCAACCCTACCAGAACTGCACAACGAGCGATAAACTCCCGGTGACACAAAATGCAACCATTCTGTTGAGAATACCGGGCGCAAGTTCCAGAACCTCCTTCAACCGTTAGGTACTTACATTTCCAAAATAAATACATAAAGTGGAAGTTAAAACCGATAATAATTAAATAAAGTAAATTACATATTTCATAAGCCTAGTATCAGTAGTTATTCCTTAGTACATCAAAAATTACCACAATCGTTGTTTGGAACTGTGTGTTTCATAATTCCTAAAAGCAGTCATTAGATCAATAGACGTCTCCTTGTGGGATGCAATTTTTTCGTTATTTTGAAGCCTCACCCTAGCTCTTGCCAAAGGCCTCAATATAGCCATGCCATAAATATGATCTAATGGCTGAAAGCGGTTTCAGGGACCTCTCCACGGGTGATCCTCATCCCCATGGTGGCACTTTGTGTCATCGGGTGTTTATCGCTTGTGTGATGTCCTAGGGGGTAGAATCTACTACTAATCGCTGTATGGAAATGTGTTTCACAGTTCCTGCGACACTGGGTTTGGCTGTTGTGCGCGTGCTTATATGTCCGAGATAAGAAGCTGCACTAAGGTAGAGGCGCACTTTCGCAAATGCAAGCAAGACCAACGTTGTTTTCTTAGTCATTCTTTCTAGGTTTCTTTTTACAAAGGAAATGAATCATGCTCGAACAATTTGGGGCATTGGAATTTTTTTTTTAATGGTGGGGGGGGGGGGGGGAGGGGTGTTTGTTTAGGATTTTATAAAGTTTATGTATACATTTTATTTTTCATGACATTAAAACAATGACTGACAGTTTTCTGATGCAGCCTCTTCTCTAGTTATAACTAGCAGCTGTTACTGTATACAGTAATGTATAATAACCTCTGTATCTAGGGGGTTGCGTGGTCTCGAGGCATGGTGTCCGTCTCGAGTGCTAGAGGTTACGGGTTCAATCCCTGTTAAGGGCTGTGATTTTTTTTCTCGTGGACTTGAACTTCTAGTAATTCCCCCAGTCTCTGGGTAGTCAGGTCGGACGCCCGTGTGCTTTGCTGCGCACACACAAAAATCCCTTGGCAGTTGGAAATTGAAAAGAGTAGTCCAACGGTGCTGATCGTGCAAAATTTGGAGTTAAAAATCTATCCAAAGTATTTCAGGATCCTCGCCGGTGTTACTTACAGAGCCTGTGCACTGTGCTGAGCTTCTTCGGACTCAGACTTGATTTAGAAGAAGAACGGAGCACTTATGTTTTACTACCCGTGTGCAATGATGTTGATCCGTCGATCAAAACCTCAAAAACTCACACTACCAGCTGCCATCGTTATCAGCAATGCAGATTAGTCTCTGTGTCTGCCTTTGTTTCCGATTTCAAACAGCAGACTTCCAGAAGAGGGGCGGGCTTTTTGTTTATATATAAAAAAATAAAAAATACGAAGGTATGCCAAATAAGTTTAGGAAATTAGTACCATATATATTGATTTGACATGCTGAGAGAAGAAATACAATATAGAATGCAATCTGGAAATAAAGCATACTATGCCCTTTAACATCTGCTAAAGTCAAAGTGTCTGTCTCGCAACACCAAGATCAAAACATATATAACATTGATAAGACCAGTCGTTTTATATGGCTCTGAAACTTGGAGCACAACTAAAAGAGATGAAGCCTTATTACAGGTTTTAAAAAACAGAGTCTTAGGGCGAATGTTTGGACCCATCAAAGATGCATACAGCGGTGAATGGCGAGTGAGAAGCAACAACGAAATTCATAACATGTTTTAATCACCACTGATCACTGGCATCATGAGAGCTGATAGACTGAAATGGTTGGGGCATATTGCAAGAATGTCAGATGACAGAGAAGTAAAAACTGTAAACACGAGGGAGATGAATGGTCATAGACCACAAGACAGTCCAAGAAGAAGATGGAGAGATAATGTCCAGACAGACCTGCAAACACTTGGTGTCATCAACTGCAAAGAGAAGATCAACCAGAGAGATGAATGGAGGCGGGTGATATCTGCAGCAAGAGCTCGGAATGCTGACGAAGAAGAAGATAATAGTTTTTGAAATGAAAGAGAGGTTTGAGGTTTTGAGGTTTTGAACAACGGATCTCACTACCCAGAGACCAGTGGAAATTACTAGAAGTCCAGTAAACGTGAAAAAATCCCAGCCTTTACCGGGGATTGAACCCAGAACCTCTAGCACTCGAGATGGACACTATGCCTCGAGACCACGCAGCACCCTAAAAAAAGGAAGAGAGAACAGGTACACGTAATTTACTTCTTTTTTTTTTCAACAGGGATTTGCATGGTAACAAGATAGGGACATTACCTAAAATGTCGCAATGCAAAAGATTAACTTTTTTGTGAGTACAGTATTTAGTTAATCAGTCATTCGGGTGCAGTATCCTTGTCAATTTAGCCTGCAATAGATCCCTAACACATTCTGTCTTTCCTCCTGTTTGCACACTCTGAAACTGCTGTTCGTCCATTTCTTGATGTTATCCTTCCACCTGCATCGCTGTCTATCTTTTGCTATTCTCTTTTTATTATTATTATTATTGTTTTTGTGATTATTATTATTATTATTATTATTATTATTATTATCATCATCATCATTAAGAGATGTGTTTCTTTCAAAGCGCTGCCTCGGAAGGCTTTGTCGCTAGACTAAAAAAAGAAAAAACAAAGTAAAACAAAGACAGGAGCTTGGAACAGAGAAGATAATACCAAGGGAAGCAAAGAATGGTATTCTGTAAAGAAAACTGGTATTTCTTGATCATGTTAAACGGCAAGGTGATCTGGAGAGACCTACGATGAAAGGTACCGGTAAACGACACAAATACAGACCTCCACAAACGTATTGAAGTTGTATTAGCTATGAAAGCACATAGGGCTGGAGAGTTCACACTAAAAGAGGGACTTTCAGGCGTGCCACGACGAGAGCTTCATTCTGTAAAGAAACCGATGATTAATGATTATGTGCAGTTTAATGATCTGTAAAGAAACCGATGATTAATAATGATGTGCAGTTTAATGTTCTGTAATGAAACTGATGATTGATGCTAATGTGCAGTTTAATGATCTGTAGAGAAACGGATGATTAATGATGATGTGTTTTTTAATGTGACCAAAATATTTTACGTCTCGTTTTTCATTTTAGAACTATATTCTTAGCAATTTTCTTAGTATTTCTTATGTCTTTAGAACCTCTCATTTGTTTTGTTCCACTTTTTGTCCACTTTTTAATTTGATCAGTGCATATGTGCGACAGGCGAGAAGCCAGCAGTCTGTATACAACTAAGCCAGACACGAAAGAGAGATGAGCACCCAGCACTTACATTCTGGAACAAATCAAAGGGCACACATGAGTTAACAACCTCAATTTCTGCCGCTTTTCACATTATGCGAACAAAGAAGACGAAGAAGCAGAAGAAGAAGAAGAAGAAGAAGAAGAAGAAGAAGAAGAAGAAGAAGAAGAAGAAGAAGAAGAAGAAGAAGAAGAAGAAGAAAAAAGAAGAAGAAGAAGAAGAAGAAGAAGAAGAAGAGAAGAAAAGAAAGAAAAGAAGAAGAAAAAAAAGAAGAAGAAAGAAAGAAAGAAGAAAGAAAGAAGAAGAAGAAGAAGAAGAAGAAGAAGACGGAGAAGGAGACAGAAAAAGAAAGAAGAAGAAGAAGAAGAAGAAGAAGAAGAAGAAGAAGAAGAAGAAGAAGAAGAAGAAGAAGAAGAAGAGAAAAAAAAATAAGGAGGGGAAGAAGAAAAACCCGTCAT